TTTTGGTATCAAATTTAAGTGCGAATTGCGAGGCCCCTACAAGCGCGAGGCCCTAGGCAAATGCCAGCACTGCCTACCCTTAACGACGGCCCTGACTTTTCCTAATGAGTTTATAAAGTTATCGCTATCAGTACCGGGAGACCTATAGACACATATTAAATTAATTGGCACTTTGATATTAGATATATAGAGTTTTACTATATTAGAATCTACGAAATCATACTCAAAAACTCTACACTTAAGTAATGTTTTACAAATACCATAACACCATCATTTTGATTTCTTTTTATAGAAGAAAAATACAAGCTATAGCCATCTAAAACATAATTACATGATTGATTATTATGCCAAGTTTCCGTAAGTACAATTATATCAATGTCCCTATATTTAGCATCATTTTCCAGAAACAATAGAAGCTCATCAAAGTGAGCATTGATACTCCTAATATTACAACATTTAATATTCAGATAATTATTATACACATTATTATTAATATATACAAATTCAGAAAAAGATTCATAGTAATTTGTTCTGTAATTCAAATATCCCTTACAGACGCTTTCCATAAGAGTAAAAAGTTAAAACTAATAGTAATATAAATACAAATAAAGTATTAAGTTAACTTAGTTAAAGATAACTCATTTTCGACAACTATAGCTTTTGTAAGTTCGGTTTTTTTTTATGAATAGTTTATAGTCTCTGAACCAGACAAATGTATACCCCGAATCACGTGCAAATATTTTAGTTTTATAAAATAAATTTCTATTGAATTGCGTTAAATTATCATTAATATAAATAGCTTCATTTTTCCAACTTGCTTCCACACTATTACCTGTTGGTTTGATTTTCCTAGATGCTTCAATCAGATCTTTTTTCACTGGTTTCGATGTTAGTTCAGCTACGATTTTTTTTGATCTGGTATTGAATTTTGACTGGACACGATAAGCATTGACAACATCAATTTCCACATTCAATAATTTTGCAATTTTTTTAACTGTACTTTTACAATCCTCATTTATTATTTCCGGTACGTTTACAATTTCAACGAAATTATCTAGTGACTTTTGTTCAAGTATATTCAATTTGTTCGATAGTACATTTAAATCGGTACGTAAATTATTATTTTGAACTTTTAAAATTCTGTTTTCTTCCCTCATGTCTTTCATTGATTTAAGAAGTTCTTGTAGTTGCTCTCCAAACGAGTCAAACTTATCACTCATATATTTAACAGAGTCCGTTAAATTATTGAATGATTCATTTGTTAACACACTTGCTTCATTTCCCTTCTTAACGTCCACAGTAGGTGATTTGCACTTAGCACAGCCCCATTTTTGTTTCGCCGTTTTTGACATTTTCCGAAAAGTTGTTTCCCTTAACACCGCACATCCAAAGTGAAAAAATTCATTGCATGTAGAACATTTCAGCTCATCTTCCTCGTGAATATCGTCGTTACATAAATTGCACAGCATTGTATTGTAAATAATTGGATTACGTAATTATTAATTAATCACCTAATTACAGATTATCAACAAAAATTCTAGTCAGACAGATTAACTCGTAAACAAGTCAACAACTCCGATTTATGGCTAATTCATCATTAATGTACGCCGTTATGTGCTAATATTTTTTCTTAATGTTTGTACAGTTGAACATCTTGAAATTTTTTTGAATAAGATATTTTTTCAAGTTGAGGCACATAATTTGGGTATTGATTTCACTTCTTTATCAAACCACAAATTTTATTTTTTTCAATCGTGGCCCTTTTTTGCACAGAACTTTGAGATTGATTTCACATCTTTATTAACACCAAAGTTCTATCTTTTCTCCCAATCTCTTCAACTTACGCACAGAAAGCCTTTTTACTTCTCCGAAGTAGTTTTTTTGAGGTTACTATATATGTCAATGTACGCCTCCTTATTAAATATTATACAATTATAATATCTTATATTATTGAATGTTACCTTACGCGATTTGTGTATAATGTTCTGTTTTCAGATGGATCCACTTTTTCTGATTGTTCGTTTTACTTTTCTTTCAATATACTTCTGAAAGTCTAGTCTGATTATTGTCTGTAGTAACGAGATACTGGTAATCGGCGTATCCCACCGCTGCCACCAAAATGTTACGGACGATCCTGAGATGTCCGTGCACAAATAAATAACAAACACTTCTGAACTAATTATTACTTTCTATATTTAAATTTGAAAAGAAAACTTACAATAAATTTAATGAATTAATATAATATGTTAAAAATGATCTGACAATTAAAATGTTCTGGAGAAAATCACAATGTTCTGTCTACTACTCTAAAATCCAACTGCCACGGCTTGTTATACGAGCCGTGTCTATAGCCAGCGCTTGCCTGGAATTGCTGTCACAGCAATCCTTCCAGACAGTCGCCGCTGTACAATATTATTATACGCCAACTATATTATATACTAACTAATATGACCAGGGGTTCTTAACACATGCGTCGCCATACGAGCATACAGTGCATGCGTGAATCTCTAAAACCTGCCTCGCACACAATGCTGCGCTACAGACACCTGAAGAAGGGGCATCACCTGCTACCTATATAACGGGCACACACAGCCAGTTTTTTTCGCCATTGCCCGTCTCAGCGCCAGTGCCTTTTGCCATTGCCCGTCTCGGTCCCAGTGCCATTCCCAGTTCCAGAGCCAGTCTCAGTGCCATGCCATTCCCAGTCCCAGTGTCTTTCCATACTTATGACCAAGCAGGGCTCCTAGGTCCCATCAAATGCATGGCGTTCACGACCCATAGCCAGTCTGTCGTCTTTCCACGCACGCAAGCCTCACAAGGTTAGGTTACCATACACGTCAATACCATACACCATTTTACCAAAAAAAAAACCCTAAACAATAATCAATATTTTTCTTTCTCATTTCTTTCATTAAGTCGTGCTTATTTTAATATACCTATTGTGGTCTCATTGACTTGAATTCACATCTGTGACTATATTATATTAAAACCCGTCTATTTTTATTTATAAAACCTATCAATCAATTTCCTATCCACACTCTTCTTCAAATCCCATTGTCCATAAATACAGTATAAGAGTTCAAATAGAGCTCAATAGAGTCTCGAATAATCTGATAGAACCACGATCAACCATCCAGACTGCTAGAGACATCCACACCTTAGAACATCGACCTGATTCAAGCAAGGTACCTAAGTGATATAATTTATATTTATATTCGAACCAAAACGTGTTAACTAATGTCTTTCATAATCATAAAACTATTTAGAAGTAGAGTAAGAATCGGATAAACGCACACATATACCCCATATTATATAATCTACCACTATCTCCTATCATCCATCTACCCCTTACCACTCCCCTTTATCTTTCCCTATATTTTTATTCTACTACATTATGTTTGTAGGAGTTATTATTTTCTGTTTAAAGGTTAGTTGTTTAAAAGTGTTTTAAATAATGACTTATATTGTATATTAATAGTTAAATATAGCTTACAGAGTTATATCTATTTTTATCATATTGTCATATTACAAATCTGTTTGTTTTCTAATAAGTTAAAAAAATTATAATATACATATTTTGTTTTTAATTATGTTTTTATATTAATAAATATTATTTTAAGTATTTTAATTATTTTTAAGTATTTCATATTGCAAGTGTTTAATAAATAAACCATTGATATCTTAATACATTTCTAATTATTATATGTTCTTTTATTTATGTTTAAGGGAATAAGTATTTTATAATTTATGTTTTTTGTGCTGCCTGCCAATTAATTATTTTTGTATATCGTATGGAGTTATAAAAATAGTGTATGTTGTGAAAAAATATAATATAATATAATTATTATATTTATGACATGTGTCCTTAATCACAAAAATTTTGATTTTATTTGTGTGCGATTAGATACAAGTCAATATGTGAGAAAAGGCACAAGTCATGCAATTGTTAAATTCGATATGCTAATGGTCACAAGTCATTAAAAATAATAAAACAATAAATTAAAAATGGTCGTTACAGGTGTGTCGGACAGCATGTTCAGAGATTCCGCGGATAAAGACGGGTGAAAAACAGAGCGTAATTTTCCTACGCGGGTCGGGTCGGAATTCGGTACACGTGGCTGACTCGTTATAAGTCGACGAACTCGCGGGCGGTCGGACTTTCGCGTCGTTAACGGCGGTCGGGTTTCGAAAGTTTTTAAGCAAAACAGTTTGAGGTCACCAATGTGGTGTCTACCGCAGTGCCGCAATAACCGGGTGTGTTGCGTGTGTCAAACACACGGGCCCAGGGCCCCAACACATAATGGGGGGCCCAATGATAAAAATTTAAAAATATATAGAAAGAAATAAAACAAAATAATTTTGTAATAATAATTATAATTATTCATACAGATTGAACAATAGATCGGTTTTGTTATGTACACAACATTATCGTACATTATTATTATTATTATCATCATACGTTTCTTATGCGGCCTGTATAACCGAAATTAAAAATAGTTTGGTTGCAACTGATTAAAGCGCGTCATGCAAAGTAACGCGCATTTTGACTGGTTTAGTGTGTGTGTTTACGCGTCTCAATTTATTATTGGTGTCTATTTTTGTTATGCGGGAATCGCCTTTCGTCATGCGGGAAAAACGAGACCGGGCTCGATTTTATATTGCACGTTCTAAAGACGGTATCTTCTACGGTCGTCGGTCGGTGTTTGTAGTCTGTCAACAAGATAATATCCATTTTGTTTACATCTGTGAAAACTTAGTTGCGACTTACGATATTGATTTGAATAATTAAAATTATAAAATAATAATTATATGATTGCCTACATAATTAACTTTTTTAATCGAATGCTCTGACTTCTGATACCTTCTACAATAAATTATGGCACCGAAAGCTCTAAGTGGAGCAGCCAAAAGAAAAAAGAAACATCAACAACAGTGTAATATTTTAAAAACAAATAAGAAGATTAATAATTTTTTTGAATGCAGTCAGTTTAATGATGGTAAGTACAAAATTATTTTATGAATATAATATATTGTTGACCATTAAGGTATTAAATTAGAGATGACTGAAATGTTGTTATTTAACCTATTGATTAACAACTTGACTGCCATAGTAGTATAGTACCTAATACCTATCATGGCCCATTAGATCTCACAGGATTTAAACTCTCTGCTACTAGTTTTTCAAAAAACTTTCATTGATTTTTTAACTTCAAAAATGTACACATGCAATGTTAGCACATAAATGTAGAATTTTTCATTGGCTTTTGTATTTATAATTCATGTGAATCTGTTAGGGTCTCATAGCACAGTAAATTAATATTTTGGTTATTATCAAAATATATATTAAATATGGGTTCCAGATGAAATCTCAAAACAATTCTTTACCTATTTAAAATATAACCATATGCATTTACAAATTTAACCATTAAAAATTAAAATCATGACTAAAGTTAAAGGTGTTATAACAAACATTTTATTTCAGTATTAACATCAATCAATGTGGTTTATAATAAAAAAATTAATTATCTAAGTTGGTCTGTTCAGAATGAGTTGTTAGACATTTTATCTACAGAGTTACGTCATTAAATTTGTAATAATATACGATCTAGTAGTTTCTTTTCTGTTATATTAGACTCTACTCAAGACATAACCAAACAAGACCAAGTTAGTCTTGTAATTCGTTATACCACATTAGATTTTGAAAAGAAACAAATACAAATTAAAGAGTCATTTCTTGGTTTTTATTTACTATCCCATCATGGTGCAGCAAATTATGTGGAACTTTTACAAAATACTTTAATGAAATTGGATTTAAATATTATGAAATGTCGGGGTCAAGGGTACGATGGGGCAGCAGTGATGAGTGGTTCAATAACAGGTGTTCAAAAACGAATTTGTGATATTGTGCCCAACGCTACGTTTGTTCATTGCTGTTCCCATAATATAAATTTAGTTTTATGTGATGCTGCTAAAAGTTCAAGGAAAATACAATCATTTTTTGATAGTGTGCAAGACATTTATAATTTTTTTAGCTCGAGTTCACCAAGATGGGCTCAGCTAGCCTTTGGTGAAGAGTACGGGATGAAAATAAATAAAATAACTTTAAAAAAAGTGTGTCCTACTCGGTGGGAAGCAAGACATAATGCTTTATTTTCATTAAAACATAGGTTTGTTGATGTTTTAAAAGCTCTTTCTAATATCCAGCTTTCAAGTTCCAAAAAAGATGAAATAAATATGGCTACAACTTTAAAAAAAAAAATGGAAAATGTTGAATTTGTAATTATCCTATGTATATGGGAACCCATTTTAAAATCTTTACAAGTGGCCTCAAAGAGTATGCAATCAGTAAATTTAAGCTTACAAAGAGCATCAACACAATTAGAAAGTGCTATTTTAATTATAGAAAAGTTGCGGAATCAATATGACCAAATATTAGAAGATTCAAGAAATTTGTGTATGAAGTGAAATATACCCTTCAAGTTAAGTGAAACACGTCAAAGATATGCTAAAAAATATTTTGATGAAGTAGACAGTGATCGCCGACTTACTACAACTGATGATAATTTTAGAGTTACTATCTTTTACCCAGTTGTAGATACAGTACTATTACAGTTAAGAGTTAGATTTAAAGGAATGAAAACTGTGTGTGATGATTTTAATATATTAATGCCTGAAATATTAACGTCAATGGCTGATGAATTGATTGTTCAGTCATCATATGACTTTATTACCAAATATAAAGAAGATATCAGTTCTGACTTCACTCGTCAACTTATTATAATCAAGGGCTATTTATCTTCCAAATATCAAACCGATCATTTAATAAATATGTCAATTCATGATTTAGCTGATACTATTGTCAAGGAAGATTTGACATCAATATTTCCTGATGTATTTATTGGTATTATAATTTTTTTAACTATACCAGTGACTTCTGCCTCAGCTGAGAGATCTTTTTCAAAGCTTAAACTTATCAAAAACTACTTAAGGAACTCAATCGGCCAAGAAAGACTTTCAAGTATAGCTTTGCTTAATATTGAAAAACAACAAACAAATGATATTAACATTGAAAATATAATAGACAATTTTGCTAACAAAAAAGCAAGAAAAATGAATTTTTTAAAGTGATGATATATTTATTTTTTTGTAAATAAATTACCTACATTTTTTAATTATGTTTACCTTATTTTGTATAAGTATTGATTATTGAGTAATAAATCAAAATTCAAAGTATGTTTTAAAATTTGGAAAAATTAATTTTACAATAGTGAATAAGTCTATTTTCAAGCGGGGGGGGGGGGGAGGCATCCATTTTATTTTCACACGGGCCCAAAATGGTGTAGTTGCGGCACTGGTCTACCGGTTCTACCAAAAGCGACGGTGGTCGGAACGTGACACGGGCGCCGGCAGAACACTACGTATTCTCCTGGATCAGAAGGTTTAAAAAAAAGAGAAAATAAGCAAAACGTTGGGTGGTCGTTTAAATAATTTATTAACAAAAAACAAGTATAACTTTAGGCGGTCGGTTCGCTCGGGTCGTTGGTCGTAAGAGCCGAGACGTAGGGCTGCTCGAGTCGATTCGAGAGCGTAAAAGTGAGTGAGTCGTACGGCAAAGCGTGAGCGGCTTCGAGCCCGTACCGACGAAAAAGTCGGTGCTCGAGGCGGGAGACAAAATTGTAGCGGGGCGATCAAAGATAATACAATTAAAAAGTTAACAATAATTCACACAGCGAATAATACAAGGAACATAAAAATAATACAAAGGTAGGAACAAGTGACAAAACGGTAACGACAATATAATATTATAATTACGGACGCGCTAGCGTCGTAATCACACTCACCACTACCACCATAATTATTATTACTATTATTGTTAACGCGATAGCGCAGCGACCGACGACTAGGCCCCGCCCGCCGTCAGTCGTTGTTCTGTTCACGTCGTTTGCTCTGCACCGCCGCGTCCCTCACGTTGTACAACTTATTTATTATAATTATTCTTAATTACCGTGTGATTTATTAAACTAAAATTCGCCTTTGGCGAATTTCGCAACAAAATACGCTTGTGATCATTTCCTCCTAGCTACCTTTGTGTATCGTTGGCCACCGGCCTCGATTATAGCCAAAGTCGTATAAGAAATGATTAGTGAATCGTATGAAGTTCGAAACGAATTGGCCGGAATCGTTCGAACGATATTGAACGAATTGTTCCCGGTACAATATTGATGATTCGTTGTTGAGTCGGTCATGATTCACATGAAGTTACGAACTAAATTAATTTCGTGAACGAATCGTTCCAACTATCTGAATCTGAATCAATTCGTTCACTGAGTTGATTCGTTCATTTTGAACGAATCGTTCGGGAACGACCCATCCCTACGCGGGAAAGAACCGAGCAAGCTACAATTATAACTAAGAAACGAAATTTTCACCATATAAAAAGGAGAATTTTGTCTGTGCAATGTCGTTTTTATTTTGTTGATATCACTTGTACAAAAAAAGTTCTCATTGTTTCAAAATCCATTATTTTTCAATTTTTTTTGTAAAAGTGATATCAAAAAAATAAAAACCATATTGCACAGACAAAATTCTCCTTTTTGTGTGGTGAAATTTGGTTTCTTAGTTATAACCATTGCCTTCTCGGTTCTTTCCCGCGCGAAATGGTTTTTACGGACGAATTTACACATGTCAAACATCCTCTTAACGGGCGTCTGAATTAAGAATTTGACAAAAATCACGAAAATGTACAAATTATTTTGAGTTGGAATTCATATGAATTTTCTTATTAATCATTTTGCCTAAAACTTGAAAATGTAATTATAAGTTTCTCATAGTGCATGTACTATAACCAAAAAATCTAATAATATATATAATCAGATTTTTTTCTACAGATATTTAAGCTAAAATTGTATTATATTACAGATTTTTGTCTGTTGGCCTAAATTTTGTTGCCTTAAAATATGAATTTTCACTTGGTAGAAGCACAATTAGTAAAATTATTAAAGAGACATGCGAAGTAATTTGGAATTTTCTGCAACCAGTAGAAATGCCAGAACCAAGTATTGAGCAGTGGCGTGGTGCAGCAGACAAGTTTTTTACAAAAACTCAATTTCCCAACTGTGTGGGAGCGGTTGACGGAAAGCACATACGATGCGTCATTCCTAAAAACTCGGGATCGATTTATTTTAACTATAAGACATTTTTCTCAATAGTTCTAATGGAAGTAGTGGACACAGAATACTACTTTATATTGTAGTATATGCACTTTTCAATTGATATACCTCTACCGACGTTTGAGGCGCCAAAAGACCATAAATTAACCGGTTACAGTTTGGCTCTCAAAAGTCGATATCGTTGCTTTACTGCTAAGACTTTTCAATCCTCAACGACCATGAATTAACCGGTTACAGATTGGTTTCAAGGAGTACGGCAAATTGCGTGACTACTCAAACAGAACAAATAATTTTTTGGGGTCGACCCGACCTCTTGTGCCTGCGCTTACGGCGACGTTATATACAAAATATTATTGTCGCCTCAGCACATTTAGCTTCCCAGGCTTGACCTATCCTAATATCTTAATTGCTAAAAATATTCCTACCTAAGCAAAATAATTATACCGACGACTGTCTACAATATACGACAATATCCATTGATGTAGGTGCATACGGACGAAAAGGTGATTCCACTGTCTTTAAGGAATGTCCCCTCAGAAGACTTTTATATTCGGAACAACTAGGCTTACCGGCAACTGCTTGTTTGCCAAATACCAGTGACAACCCTCAGCCATACGTTATAATTGGAGATGAAGCATTTGGTTTTCATAAAAATTTATTAAGGCCTTTTCCGGGACGTGGTATTGACCGAAAGGTTGTCAAGAGCGAGAAGGTATGTAGAGTGTTCTTTTGGCATACTGGCAAATAAATGGCGAGTTTTACATACAGCAATAAATGTAGAACCAGATTTTGCCGATATAATAGTTAAAGCGTGTTGTATACTTCACAATTTCGTCAGAAGGAGAGATGGTGTCAATTTTGAAGATACGCTAAGCAATAGCTTAGACTATTTAGAAGTGCATCAGAATGATACTGGAGGTCGTTCACAAGGCAAAGATGTGAGGGACCATTTTGCAAAATTATTTTTTAGATGTTGGATCTGTTCCATTTCAATATAAATTTGTATTATTTTTTTCAACTTTTATTTGAGATTTCTTAAGTTTAATATATCCTAATATTATATTCATTTTTAAAAAACCTGTTTATAAATTAAATTATATAAAGATTATATCATATTATTATACATTTATACTATTTTACTTATGTATCCGATGCGTCGAAAAACAAAATAGTTTGTACTTGGCAATTCACCGAATCGGACGCAATTGTCAAAACTGGAACATAGTTGTTCAAAATAGAATCAGCAAGCAGCAGACCTATTTACTTTGGACACGGAGTTATTAAACTTACTTTTCTCTTCTTGCTCTGTGATTGAAAATGTTTCCCAATTTTCAAACATATCCATAATCCATTCCAACTTCAATCCAAGATTTCCTTTTATTTATTCCTTTCCCTATCCATAAAAACTTTGCTTGAGACATTCCAAAGGCATTCGTGCTTTTCAATCTCGACGTCAATCATTTTTATGTAGAATAGGTATATAGGAAAAATACAAGTTAAAAAGTGCACAATACGATAAGTTAACAAATGTTATGCAAATTGTGGTCACAATTTTAAACAAACCGTTGGACGGACACCGTAATGTGACGCATGTCATTTGAAATAGTGTATTATTAAAGTAAACGGTGAAACGGCACCGCCGTTCAACCGCTGCATGTAGCGGCTCCCGACAACGGCGAACGGTGAAATCGATGTGTATGGCGCTCTAAATTTAAACATGTATGTTTTTCGTGAACGATAAGACCGCTGCGTTAAAACCGTTCGCACTCAACGGCGAAAATACCGCAGTGTGGCTCGACCCTAATTAGACAGCATATTTACTTATCTAGATACATTTATTTTTTTTTTTTAGTTACAAGACAAATACATGATATAACAAAGACAGATATTAACTAGGCATTACTCTACACTGAGGTGAAACCTCGTGTCGTAGAGTAAGAGTACATTTTTGTTTTGTTTTGTTTTTTTTTTAGTAGCCGTGATAATAATGAAAGATAGTAAGAGACCTTGTTTCGTCAACGCCGGACTTACCTTGCTTGGCTCGTGGACGGCGATGACTCGTACCCTGTCGAGGATGGGGTTACCACAATGTTAAAATAAATTGTACAACGATTCAAAACAAAATGTAAATAATGACAAGTGCTAATATTTTTAACTATACATATAATAATAACAAAGTGATAGTATATATTATCTATATGAGGAACGGTACCGTAAAGGAAACAAGGACGGTGATCTGAACCTGTTTTAAACCGAAGCTGGTTGGTATTGACGATTTGACCGGAGCTGAATGACGTTGACGACAGGACCGGAGCTGGTTAGTATTGACGACTTGACCGGAGCTGGTTGACGTAGTGGACTGGACCGGAGCTGGTTAATATTGTTGATTGTATTAAAAGGGTACAGACTAAAGAGCCGTAAAAGAGAACCACGTGTGTGAGACGGAGAGCAGGTATGGTTTTGTAGAGCTATGTACACGCACATACAACCAAGAACGACGTATCTCGTCAGGAGTCTCGAAAACAACAACACGCGCACACGGCGGGCCGACTCGCCGGCTAGACGCCGTTCGCCGTTCGATCCAGCTGATCAAACGACGACTGCTTTCTCGATCAAGGGGGAATGTGGCAAACAGTGTGGCAACATCCGCACCAGTGACCGATCATAATAACCAACTTGCGCGAACATACTCCCCCCTTGGGAGACTCCGTCTTCCAAAGCTCGAGAACTGGAACTCTTGATATGGTGGATGTGGTTCAGCTGTCCAGGGAGGAAACGGATAAAACCAAAGGAGTCCCTAGTTACATGGTTTTTACAACATAATATACAATACGATATAACAGACATATCAGATAAAGACAGCTGATATGTTATGAACAATAAATAAAAGAATAATAAAAGAATAATTACAATATAATAAATATAACACCCCCTCCTCCCACCAGACCAAGTCACCGGTGCCCATACACCGATAACAGAGCGAGTCAGAACTGAGTATGAATGAGTGGGTGAACAAAAGAGGGTATGCTGTACATGGGTGCCCTTAAAACTATCGAGCTCATAAGGGAACCCGCAAGTTAAAAAAATATATATTCATTGTTCGGTGGGTAAGCGAACCAGCTTCACCACCGGTCTAATTAAAGCCCCCTGTCCGGTTAGGTTATCAATTTGACAACACGAACAACCTTGTCTTGACCTGGTAATAATTCTATTACCCTACCTAAACGCCAACCTAATGTAGTAGTCACATTATCTTTAATCAGCACCAAATCACCGACTCTGAGCTGAGTATCGGTGGAAGTCCATTTTGAACGAAGCTGTAGGCTACTTAAGTATTCCGAAGACCACCTCTTCCAGAACGCCTGATGACACTGGTGGAGTAGTTTCCACCTTGAGGGTAAACGACCAGAAGTGTCTAAGACGTTCGGCTCTGGGACACACAAGAGAGGCTGACCGATTAGGAAATGTCCCGGAGTTAAACTTTCTAAATCTCCTGGGTCGGATGACAACGGTGTTAGCGGCCTAGAATTCAAAACCGACTCGATGCGACAAATGACGGTGTTGAGTTCCTCATACGTCAAAGTATGAGCTCCTACTACTCGGACTAACAACCTTTTCATGGATTTCACAGCAGCCTCCCAAATGCCCCCGAAGTGTGGAGCACTAGGAGGGTTAAAATGCCAACTGCATGGGAAGTGTGAGCTAAGCTGATCTCGAGTTTTCGCCTCAGAAAAGAACTGACGAAGTTGCTTCGACGCGCCTACAAAATTTGTACCACAATCCGAATAAATATCGGACGGTAGGCCACGTCGTGCAACGAACCTGTCGAGTGCTGCCAAAAAGGCCGGTGCTGAGAGATCAGTAACGACTTCTAAGTGAACAGCTTTCACCGTCATACAGACAAATACTGAAATATAGACCTTATACTCTCGTGCCTTCCGAAGTTTAAGTTCACGCATAGTCAAGGGACCAGCAAAATCTATCCCTACCTTTGAGAACGGTCGACATGGTATGACACGAGAAGACGGTAAGTCCGCCATCACTGGTTGAGGATTAACAGCTGCCAGCCGGACACAGGTAACACAATCTTTCAATTCATTGCCAATTACTCTACGAATTGACAAGATCCAGAACTGCTTCGAAACAAGAGAAGCCACTAAACGTGCCCCAGAATGACAAGAGAAAATGTGCCAGTGACGTACCAGTAACCTAGAGAGATGTGATGTTTTTGCTAACAACATCGGATGTTTTTGACTAGTCGAAATTTGAGAATTGCGCAGTCGTCCTCCTACACGTATAATTCCAGCCGAATCAATATACGGAGAGAGTCGAGCTAACGGTTTGGAGGAAATCCGGGCATTTTGAGAGAGCTCCCTATACAACAAACGAAAATGAACGAGCTGAGAACGTCTAACGATAACCGCTAATGCTTCGTTCAATTCACCTACCGACAAAATCCCAAGAGATACAGGTTTTCTTTTGCACAACGACACGAAACGTCTTACCCAGACTACGACTCGAAGCATATGTAGATACGAAGAAAATCTGTCAAACCATTCATGTTCTTGATCGGAGCTGGTCAAGAGCGAAACTGCTTTGACCTCAGGGATTTCTTCCACCGAAAGTCGCGGGATCTCAGAAGACCAATTGTCTGGTGAGCTGGACAAAAAGCTAGGGCCATTCCAATATAGATCATGACGATTCAGTTCCGAAGGTTTCAGGCCACGCGACGCACAATCCGCCGGGTTTGCTTCAGACGAGACATGTAACCACTTACAGGATGGCAATGATTGGTGAATTTTACTAATCCGGTTAGATACAAAGACCTTGTACGAGACATGAGGAGTGGTAAGCCATGAAAGGACGATAGACGAATCCGTCCATGCATATACGTCTGAAATCGTTAACTGAGCTGATAACGTTTCCTTAATCCTTGACATCCAACGTGCTAAAAGTCCCGCGCCGCACAGCTCCAATCTCGGAACCGTCATGGAATGACGAGGGGCCAACTTAGTCTTGCCACCTAATAGTTGAACGACTATTTGATTACTGGGGAGGACAATATGTAAATAAGCGAGAGCAGCATAACCACGAACCGAAGCGTCACAGAACCCACATAACGTGTAGGTGGATCCTCGTCGAGTTCCGACAAAACGAGGCACGCGAACTGAAGATAGGGACGGTAACTCCGCCACGAACTGGGACCACACTTCTTAAATCTCGGGTGGTAGTTTATCATCCCACGCGATTCCGGACGACCAAATCAACTGCATCAAATGCTTGGCGAATAACACTACAGGAGATAGGAAACCCAACGGATCGAAGATCCGAGCAATTACTGAGAGTACTCCTCGTTTAGTGTGGGTAAATTTAATCTCGCTAAAATCGTACCCCAATGCATCTTCTTCTGGACTCCAATTCAATCCCAAAACCATGACGGTGGACCCTTCATCTTCGAACGATAGTGAGCCAGACACGCGATCTTCCTTAGAAATTTTTTCTAGTAGTGCCGGAGTATTACTGGACCATTTCCTAAGTTCGAATCCGTACGATATTAACGTTTTGACGAGACTTTGCTGTAACCGAAGAGCTTCGTCGAGAGTGTCTGCCCCTGTACATATGTCGTCCATATAGGTCTGGAGCCGAAGAGCCGTTTGAACAGATGACAAACATGGATCACAACGATCAGCAATATCATGCAATACTCTCAGAGCTAAGAATGGAGCACTGTTGACGCCATAGGTTACCGTGTTAAGGGTATACTCTTTCAATGCTTCTACTGGTGATGCCCTCCACAGAATATGCTGGTATTGCCGGTATTCCGTATTCACCTGAATCTGCCTGTACATTTTACATATGTCAGAGGAGAACGCGAAACAATACAGCCGAAATCCGAGCAAAACGTCAACTATATCACGTTGAAGCTTAGGGCCAACATACAATGCGTCATTCAGAGACTGACCTGAATTACAGCGAGCTGAAGCATCAAACACGACGCGTAATTTACTGTGACTAATCCCTTGTTTCCATACTGCGTGGTGTGGAATCACATAAAGTCCAGGGTTTTGAGCGACTGTCATGTGGCCTAAGACTTCATACTCGGCCATAAATTCACGATAGGCCATTCCCAATTTCTCATCTTGAGTTAACTTCCGTTCAAGATGTTCAAAACGTTTGGCCGCGATCCGTTTCATACCGTCGAATGTTGGAGGGGGCATATCTTGCCTGAACGGTAGTGGAACACTGTAACGACCGGTCTCATCAATGATGGTTTCCGCTTTAAACTTGTCTTCACAGCATCCCTGGTCCGTGAACTGTGCAGGCGCTTCTTCCGGTTCTTCCACTTCCCAGAATCGCTCCATCAATGACTCTATAGACGGATTGAGCATCGCTAATAGACAATGCGCACCACTAGCACTGACGTTCTGTGAAACTGGACCGATTAGCACCCATCCAAAAGTGGAGCTATACGCAGTTGGGAGTCCGCGGCCGAGCGAGCATTTCTCACCGATCCACACCTGCGGAAAAACGTCAGCTCCCAATAACAATTCCACCGGAGCTGGGGTATCAAAGGAAGGGTCTGCGAGCTGCAGATGGGAACAGCCTTCCCTTACGCCGACGAACAACTGTTGGCTTGGCAGATCTGCCGTTATGGTAGGTAAAACCCACGCCGTGACTGCTATGACCGGGACTGATTTATAACAAGATTGCATTTCTAAATGCACCTTTCCTAAAACCTTAGGAACAGACTGACCAGAGAGCCCTGTCAGCGAGGCTGTCCATCTTGACCGCCTAAGACCAAGCCGGTCTAAACAACTCTTCCTGATGATGCTGGTTTGTGACCCGGAATCGAGAAGAGCCCTGACAGGTTGAAGATTTCCACTAACATCTCGAACCATTACCACTGCAGTACCAAGTAGAACGGATGAAGAAGGCTGAGAACTAAGCATTACGACAGGTGGCTGCTGAGCTGCAGAACCCTGACTCGCTTCAGCATCTCTGTGTAGAAGTAAGTGATGGCGACGCTTACACTTGGAGCAACTCTCTTTACACTTACTCGACCAATGTTTATTACTAAAACATGACATGCAAAGTCTGTGCTTCGAAACAATCTCGTATCGCCCATCTACCGACAGACCCTTAAACCCAAAACAATTGCTTAACTGATGTGGCCCATCACAATTCGGGCACTTAACGGACTTAGAAGGCAGATTACTGGATGGCTGCGTAGCCACCAGTGACGTGGATGTCTTCCCACAATTTGTCCACTCCTTCTTGGCACCCGACAATTTCGGCTTCCCTTCTTTAGTACCAGAGGAAGATGAAGATCCTCCAGCCAACTCTAACACCTGAATTCGATTCTTTACAAATTTGAATAATTCTTGAGCCTTCGGGTATTCTTCCGAATTAGACGTTTCGAACAGGCGGCGAGACGACACTGGTAAAGACCGAAAAGCAATCGAGAACAGCAGGAAGTCACCAAAATTTGGAATTTCAAGAGATCCTAGGATACCGATGGTTTCATCAAAATTATTTAAAAATTTATTCAACGAAGAAACCGATTCTTGTTGGATTATCGGAGCTGATAGAATCGTATCCAATAAAAACGATGCCAACTTGCGCGGTTTATCGAACCGTTCCACAAGTGTCTTCCAGGCTAACGAATAGGTGTCATTTGAAACCGTTATCCCCTTTACGACCTCCGATGCCTCAAGCTCGAGACAACTCAGGAGATAGTAGAATTTCTCAATATTTGAAATATTTGAACGACTATCCACTAGGGCGATAAACCGATCGCGAAACACTGGCCAATCTGCCAGGTCTCCCGAAAACTGGGGAAGAGGAATTTCCGGTAGTCGTACAGAATGCAAAGGCTGAGCTGCCAATGTTGTCATCGTTTGTGATTTATCTGAACCAGGAGGTATAGTCGAACTGCCAGCTGCATCCGACTCTGAACCACATCTTGGTTCATCTACTATTCTCTCGGGAATGTGCGATGAGGACGAGAACCATATAGCCAAAGCTTTGACCGAAACTACCATCTCACTCGCCTCTATCTCAACTGAACTTGAAAAATCTCCCTCTTCGCCTAATTCGATTAAAGCATCTAAAAATGCATCATTTTCAATCACGAATTTTCCCCACAAATCTGCAAGGTCATTGACCGAAATTAAAAACCTTTGTCGGGCGTTCAGATCTGATTCGCCGGACAATCCTAGATCAAAAATGGACTTAATACGATCGAATATGGCAGTACGTTTAGCTAAAGCACGGTTCTTAGATCGATTAACACGGACCGCATCCATTGTAGACGAAATATTAATAAACAACAAGGAAAAAATACGTAATAAACGAATTCGTATTAATAATATTAATAATATTGATAAATCGAATACAAATAACGAGCCGAAATCAACTAAGTGTAAATAACCGGAAACACAATGAAAACGTCAGATATGCAACACGGACGAAAATACAAAATTAGACCCGTATAGAGCGCAGCGACCGCACCACCAGCCGAGACGCGATAAATAATAACAAATGAAAATATTATAATAATAGGTAAAATAACATATGCAACGCTCAAAGCGAACGCACCAACACAGCAAAATAATAATAAGTAATAAAACGTAAATAATATAAGTAAATAATAACAACAACGAACAAGAAATAATAAAACGTAAAATGAGCGCGAAGCTAAATACCAGTATATTACGTTAAATGATCAACTTAAATAAAATATTAATAGTACGCGCTTATCCTGTTACGAAATGATAATAATAAGCAAAAGAAACTATTGCGTAATATTGAAACGCGCGACTTTAATAATTGCGTGTAACGCCGCGTGCGTGTGTACGAACGTTGCGCGCTGGGATTAATATTATGGCGGATAAAAACAATATTAACCAATATAAGAATATATAACACTAGTTGCGAGTATAATAGCTAACAGTACCTAACTAAAATAAACTTTATAAATATATATAACATAATGGCTACCCAAGGTACAGCTTACCCACAAGTCCCCACAGAGCACTAATAAAAATATAATATAATATACTAACCACGCTCTGCTACCAAATGTTTCGCCAACGCCGGACTTACCTTGCTTGGCTCGTGGACGGCGATGACTCGTACCCTGTCGAGGATGGGGTTACCACAATGTTAAAATAAATTGTACAACGATTCAAAACAAAATGTAAATAATGACAAGTGCTAATATTTTTAACTATACATATAATAATAACAAAGTGATAGTATATATTATCTATATGAGGAACGGTACCGTAAAGGAAACAAGGACGGTGATCTGAACCTGTTTTAAACCGAAGCTGGTTGGTATTGACGATTTGACCGGAGCTGAATGACGTTGACGACAGGACCGGAGCTGGTTAGTATTGACGACTTGACCGGAGCTGGTTGACGTAGTGGACTGGACCGGAGCTGGTTAATATTGTTGATTGTATTAAAAGGGTACAGACTAAAGAGCCGTAAAAGAGAACCACGTGTGTGAGACGGAGAGCAGGTATGGTTTTGTAGAGCTATGTACACGCACATACAACCAAGAACGACGTATCTCGTCAGGAGTCTCGAAAACAACAACACGCGCACACGGCGGGCCGACTCGCCGGCTAGACGCCGTTCGCCGTTCGATCCAGCTGATCAAACGACGACTGATTTCTCGATCAAGGGGGAATGTGGCAAACAGTGTGGCAACATCCGCACCAGTGACCGATCATAATAACCAACTTGCGCGAACAGACCTTATTTAAAACAAATAATAATAATAATAATAATTAATACAATAGTAAAAAAGAGAATTTAATGCTAGATATTTAAAGATTATTGTAAAACCAATTTTTTAATTTATATTTAAAATATGAATAATTTGAAATAATTAATAATTCTTTAGGAATCTCATTTAAAGACCGTAATCCAACTTGTAAGAATGACATTGAAGCTTTTTTAGTAACAACGAAAGGTATTTCGAGGTTTGTTTTTCTGAAGTTTTATGTTAGATTTTTAATATCAAATAAATTATTTTTGAAGATGAAGCAAATTGCTTTTTTTTGTATAAATTGTCAATATCAAGTACTCTTAACATTTTATATAATTCAGATGAAGAAAAGGTTTTCTGTTTATTTAGAATGATTTTAATTAGGTTCTTTTGTCTTATTGATAAGTTGCATTTTAAGGTGGTATTGCAACCACACCAAGCTATTATGCCATATTAAATTAGTGATTGAGCCATTGCAAAATAAGTTATTCTAATTAGCTGTTTGTTTAGTATTTTTTTTGCTATTATGAAAAAGTATGTTAGTTGTCTTAGTTTAACTATTATGTATTCCATATGATTATTCCATTTTAAGTGTTGATCTATTGTTATGCCATTTAATGAAAGGGTGTTTAATTAATTTTGGACAGGTGCATGTTATAGTGTTGCAATTAAATTTTGTGTATAATGATCTCGTTTCTAAGTGGTGTAGTTTTAATGTCATTGGTTAAAGCTATAAATTTTGATTTTTCATAATTTATTTCTAAACTATTATTCGAAAACCATTCATCAATTACTAACATATCAGCTTCACATTTTCGCCAAACTGTATCCCAGTTAGAGTCCGAGACTTTGATGGCCGTGTCATCTGCGTATGAATAAATTTTTCCATTTATATAAAGATTACTTAATTCAGCTACGTATATAATGTATAGAATTGGGGAAAGTACTGTACCTTGGGAGACTCCGTTTGAATTTGACCTATTTCACTTGTTGTGTTACCTATTCTGCTTTGTTGAGTTCTTTGGTTTAAGTATGATTCGAAAATTTTGAAAGTTGTCCCAGTAATACCAAGAGAGTGTAGTCGATTTAGCAAAATAGAATGAGATATGCTGTCAAAGGCTTTGCTTAGGTCTAGGATTATACCGATAGTTTTATTACGTTTGTCTATGTTATTATATATTTCATTTGTAAGTTGTGCTAATGCATCTTCAGTACCTAAACCATTTCTAAAACCATATTGTGAATTGGGCAATAAATTATTTTCTTCTAAGTAATTTAGAAGTCTTGTTTTAACTGCTTTTTCAAATATCTTAGAGAATACATTAAATAAACTAATTGGTCTGTAGTTAGTTAAACTCGTTTTATAAAACCTTTATATAACGGTACTACTACTGCCTTTTTAAATGAATCTGGAATAAGCCCTTCTTTTAATATCTGATTAAAGATTATTTCTAATATATGGGACATCAATTTGTTAAATTTCTTAGTAACATTGATAGATATACCATCTATACCGGGTGCTGAGTCATTTTTCATATTGGAGATTATATTGGATATTTCAGTTTTAGTAATTTTTCTTAAGTATAGCAAGTGAGATTGATTATTAGAAATATTTGGATTTTGGTTAATTGTATTACTTTCTTTGTGGTTGCCCATTTTTAAAAAATAATTATTAAATTCATTGGCAAGGAGAAGTGGATCTGTATTAGAATCGTATGTACTATTGTTTATATTTAATCTGATATTAGATGGATTTAATGTATTTTGTGTAGTTGCTTGTTTTATAGTGGACCAGATTTTCTTAGGGTTATTTATGTTCGTTTTTATTTTTTCACTTAAGTAATTAATTTTTGCTTTTGCAATGATCTCGGATAATTTGTTTCTGTATTTTTCATATTTGCTTTTTAATAATATAATAAACGGTTCTTTTCTGGATAATTTGTGTAACTTATCTCGTTTTTTAATGGAGTTTAATATGCGTGGTTGAATCCATGGATTATTGATTTTTTTTGGCTTGCGCTGGTTATCAGTTGTAAATTGTTTTAATAAGTTTTGTAATGTAGTTGTAAATATATTTATATTAGTGTTTGCATTATTACTATCAGTTATGACGTCAACCCATTTTGTAAGTTTAATTAGATTAGTTTAGCTTATTATAATTAATTCAACTATAGATAATTGTTTCTGCGTTTATATTGATGTTCTTTGTATTGGAATTAATATCTATTATTTGAGTAATTACGGGATAGTGGTCTGTTATTAATGAGTCGATAAGAGATACCTGGACGGAAATCTGTGAGTTAGTATAGGTATTGATGTTTGTAAAAACATGGTCTAAACAGGTGTTTGATTCGGGGCGTGTGGTAATATTCACATGTGATGTAAAATTCAGTGTGTTTAGTATATCTAAAGCATAGAGGCATAGTCTACATTTTTTATGTATACCGTGAAAACAATTGGTTTTGTTAAACGTTAAACAGTCATTAAATAATTAATTAAAAAATGAGGCCAGGCTGTAAACAACGTTCTATTGTTTGAGAAAGTTTCAGAAAAAATTCTGACGGTAAAGTTGTAACGTGTCAAGTGTGCAAAAAGGAATTTAAATATTTTGGAAACACGACTAATTTAAAAGGTAATTTATTTTACAATATTTAGCTGTAGGCAGGGCTTAAATTTAAAAAAAATATATGGTTTTATTGTTTTTAGTTATTTTAACGATATAGGATAGGGTCCAGAAATTCACGCATTTAAAAAGTTGCTAGATAAGCTAAGAATTTAAATCACAATGTAACGTGTTCAAAAATTAAATTTTAGTGTTCATATATTCTCCCGTCTTTTAATTATTATTTTTACTAAAAACGAAAAATACTTTACGTAAAAAATATAATTAAGTCCATACTTAGTTTATATTTTAATGATTTTGGTGCATATATTTTGATAATTTTTAATACAAGTTCTGGGCCCTATATTTATAACCAGGGCTCATAACTTCTAGAATTTGCATATTTTTTTTGAGAGGTCCTAGAGATACCTAAGTGAGCTATAAATTTGTTTCAGATAACTAAGAAGCTAAATACGAAATTTTATGTTGCATATTTTTGCATATTTCGAAGTATAAGTGCTATTTTGCTTTTTTTCTATTTTCCAACATTTATTTTGCATAATATATTTTTTTTTTTCAGTTCCGTAGCTTTTAAAACATTTTTTCTTAATAATAAAAATTAATTATAGTCATATTAATTATTTTTATTAATAATTAATTCGTGTCAATTAATTGTTCTTATAATATTATAAGAAAAAAACTATATATATACGAGTTTAGATGACGTGCGACCTAGAGAGAGTGTATGCCCGACGCTTGGTAATCCCATCGTTAAAGAAATTGTAGCATAATATGCACTAGTATTTTATTTTTATAGTTTCTAGGTATTCCGATATCATTATCTAGATATTCCGATATCATTATTTTCAGATTATTTACAGATTATTACTCAATACTCGGTAATATTTTGCAGTCGTTTCCGATTG